ACAAATTTTAGGTGAAAATTAGCATACTTGATATGATGGATGGATGGATGGATGGATGTACTATTGGACCCATGAATCCTCATCATGAAATACTTTAATTTTTAGAAATTTAGAATTTTTTAAAGCATTTAATTATATTTTTAGATTCAGGCTCAATTGTAAGTAACATTATTATTTCAATTAGTTCAATATCAATCTCGTGTTAAAACTAGTTTTTAGCAATATTTTTATACATGATATGATTTCGAAACGTTCCATATATTTTGATAAACGAAATATATCTTTTATTAAAGGTTGTCAAATTTTATTTAATATGCCTGTTATATTAAAATTAAATTTTTAAACATGTTAAGAAATTTATGTTTAGTAACACGTCGAATTGCTAGAATTCGAGGCGTTACAACTGCGGTCAACTATTATTATTATTATTATTATTATTATTATTATTATTATTATTATTATTATTATTATTATTTATTTTATTTTTATTTTTATTTTTATTTTTATTTTTTGCCTTGGAGTTATGATGAAAGCCCTAAAAATATTAAGAAAATAAAGTAAAATTTTTTTTACTAAACAATAATTAAATGTGCCTATATACTAAATGCGACCGTATTACTTATATGTCATGCAATAACTTAAAATTAAAGAGTTAAAGGTTAAAAATTGGTTACTTCCCATTAAGTTCTTGATTTATAGTCTCAAACTCGACTTTTGTACAAATGTTTCATGACACTTTGAATATGACTTTGAAGGTCCTACTTAGCTTGTTTAAGTTGAATTTACACCAATTTGCATCCATCTTTCAAATTTTTACCTTGCCCTTCTCTAAGTAGTAGGATTTCCCTTCATCCTCCGATTCAAACTCAATAATGTACACCCCAATCTCCTTATAGGATTTAATATCAAACTCATTTTTTGAGCAACCAATAAATCGAAGGATTGCATGCTAATCTCATCTTTTTTAAATACTACTAATTCTTTTTGACGCGTTATGATTAAATCATCGATCTCTTCATGCTTCTCTTCTTTTGCTGTTGGTTAATGAGTTGAATGACCGGGCTTCTATCCAAAATTTTTGGTAATTGCACAAGGAAGTTTTCATGAGTAGGCTCCCTTTCTTTGTATGTCGAAGAATTCCAATTCCCCTAAAAGAATGTCGTCATCACTAATTTTGGTACATAGATCCTCTTGTAGATATTTCATATATTCCTCTTGTACTTGGCAGCCTGGTAATAGCCAAAGTAATCATCTTCATCAATGTCGGTCAAACCTTATGTTTGGAAGCATGGTAATGCCAATACTACTCCCAATGGCAGTCATTCTCATCAACTTCGGGATATGCATCATATTCCCTCATTTTAAAGCATGATAAGACGGAGAAATCCCTTCTAGACATTGCGTCTTCATCAATTTCGGGATCTCCCATCTCATGCTATGGTTGAGCAATAATTCCTTTAGTTCCCTGTTAGTGAAACAACGAAAAAAAAGGTGGGATGATTAACATAATATTTAAATCCTAGCTTGGTCACTTTCTTTCTAATGAGTAGTAAGTTTAGACTGATGTGACTTTATAATTTGAAGTGTTAATTATTTATTTATTTATTTTTTATTGAGACTATCCTCTGTATTGAGGAAAAAGACATGCAACTTGGTATTTCTTCGTTTTGAAGACATGCTTATGTAGCAATTTTCTAGTTGTCATAAGACATCAGGTCTTAAGTATTAAATGAGCTAGGAGAAAGATAGTAAAGATGAGGAACTGAAAAATAGATTGGGAAGAACATATTAGATGACAAGAACATGAAAGTAGTTTTGAATAGGATAAATTTTACAAGGGTTCAAGTGCTTTAAATCTAAAGGACGTTCACTTGAAAATACTTATTTTGGTATTGTCCACATGTCAAATACTACTTATTGGATCTTAACCTATGTTGATAGTGGATTCATGTGATAAAAACCCACTTCACGATAGAAGAAATGTCTTCAGTCAATCATCGATTCTTTAGTTTGGTACAAAATAATTAATATATCCTAATAATGAAGATAAAGTAGAGGTTTATGCGAGTAATACATGGGACTTAGTATTGCAAGGTGGACAAAGTAACCTTCGATTTGATATCACATTTGCATCAAAGACTACTGAACCTGATTTTAATTGTTGTTCTTCTAAAAGTCTTTAACTTGAATTTTTTCGTGGTAGTTCTACTCGTACTTAGAGTGGTGATATTTATTATGAGTCTAGATAGTTGTGCAATGGTTTAAAGTGTTGAGTTGGAAAAAAAAAATAAAAAAATTATAGATTACCATTCAATGGCTATATGAACTAATGTTCCATATAGTCAGTCTATCTGGATTCCATTGTTTTTATGATTTTCATAAGTTGGAGGCATTGAGTTGATTTAGACTTCATTTAAGTGGACTATAAAATCAGATTATAAAAGCCGAGACTTTGAGAATTGTTTGATAGCGTGAATCTCGATCATTAGAGTTCAAGGATTTACGTAATAAAAAAAACTCTTATTGGATTGCCTATTCACAAATCACCAAAACTATATGGTGAATATAATGAATCAAGTATAACTGAATGTGGTGATACTTGACATAGTACAGTCCAACTTAATTATTTCCTTTTGAGGGAGAGTGTAAGTTAACTGTAACTTCACACTCAATGGAGTTCTCTCAATATTAGTACCTTTCACTTTTGTAAAGCTTTGGATATGTGAATAACCGAATATAAGTTATTTTAGACTCATGATCAATTACGTAAGTTCTTGATTTTTTCAAGAGAGTTTGAAAATGTGAGTCCAATAAAACCGAATATATCTCTATAAGATACGAATACGGTCCAAAGTGTACTTTTTCATAAGTGAAATTTTAGGTGAATATTGAGTTACGAAGATGTGATTTTTTTTTATTTTTTTTTAAGCAACGAATAAAGGTTTGAAAATATTGGTAAAATTAATTTTAATTGCTTGTTGAATCAGTTAAAATACATAGGAGTTTTTTTAAGCTCCTAATTCAAGTATGAGTAATCTATTTCCTGGTCGAAGCAATCTAATTTCTGTTTTTAAGTGGGACCAATCTAATTTCAAATATTCTTGATTTACCAAAATCTTTTACTTATAGGAGTATAAAGAAGACAAATTGATGAAAGCGATTGAAGTATAAATGAAGCATTTTTATTTTTATTTTTTCCTTTTTTAGAATATTGTATAAGTGGAGCATAGAGAGTCCAATTATAATCTGGGATTTGGTGGTTTTTTAAAGAAAATTCGTTTTCTTCAAATTTGAGCCGAAGGTAAATGAGTTTAGACAAATCTTACTTTAAAATTTTTAGGAAAATGGTATACTCAATTTGAGGGATTGTACTTAGATTAACCCCCCCCCCCCCCCCCCCCCCACGCGGTTTTTTTTTTTTTGGTAGTGAGGTTCACTTTCTTACATTTATGCTAGCCATAGTGTTGAATTTAAATTTAGACTTATATCAAATAAACCTAGAAATTGTATTTTTTGTTCTCCATTGAGAATTGATTAAAGAGATTTATGTGAATCATCTTATAGGTTTCATTATTAAGGGCCTTTTAATATTGTAGTAACTTTATAGTTACTCCATTTTAACAGTAGTATTTGAGGTTTGACCAGATTTAAATCTCATACAAATTTCACTGTATGAATGAAGATCATGGTATTACGTGAAGATCTAATGGTAAGTTCTATTTTTAGTGTTGACGACGTTGTATTGGCTAAGTACGATAATGATTGTATTCTTGGTTATCCTTAATCATTGAGAAGAAGGACATGGGTTAGCAAATTATATGCTTTATATTAAAATATTATTCTAGTCTTGTTGATCTATCACAAGAGTTATATAGTGTAAAGACTCTAGAATGTTTATAACTAATTGTAAAATGCTATCCTATTGATACTCTTATCTCAAAATGCAATAACACGAGTCTTAATATATGTTTAAATACTTTAGGATATTAAAATATGCTATGATGTATACTTGTCTAAACATTTATAATGCCATGAATCTAGTCAATATGTATCAATATTATTTTTTGAAAGGATATTATGACACCTGAATGGTACTATCAGTTATTTCACTTGTTATTGAGGAAATAACTTATAATTGAAAAAAATATCATTAAAACAAAAATGCCTTTTTGCAATATAAAAAAATGCAACATTCATTAATTAAAGTTGTTAAAAGGGTCTATTGCAACATTCTAATAAGTGAATGTTGTTATTGGTGTCAATAATTGATATTTGACAATATTTTTTAAGTGAATGATGCTAATATTGCATTTTTGCAACGTTTATTTAGTGTTGCAATTTTTATTTTTATTTTTTGCAACGTTTATCAAACATTACAAAAAAGGTTTATCTTTCACAACATTTATCAAATGTTGCAAATTTTTTTCTCTTTCACAATGTTTATCAAATGTTGTAAATTAGAGAAACATTTAGCAACGTTTATCAAATGTTGCAAAAATGTTTCTCGTTCGCAGTATTTATCAAACATTGCAAAAGTAGAAACCTTTAGCAATGTTTATCGAACGTTGCAAAATGCGTTTCATTGACAATACAAATACCCAAGCACAACCAAAAAGTGAAACCCATTTATTAGCGCAATGACATAATTACCATTCATATGAACTACTTCAACCCATTGCATCCATTCAAATTCAATCCAATTCCATCCACTACTCCTCTCCTTTCTCTCTATGCTTAAAACCCTAGCCATTTTTCACACACGCAAGTTTTTTCCAAGATCTAGTTGACTAGTTTCAGTAACAAAACACCCGGCAAAGATCATGACGGTGGTGCCATAATCAACCGAACAGGAGCTGATGAGCTCTCCAACTGACGGCATATCAAATGTCCCCTTCTCAAACCACAGTGACAATCTATTGGTTTCTTCTTAGGATAAGGTCACTTGATTTTGTTTTCTAGATTTTTCTTTTTTAGATCTCAATTGTCAATTCTTTAGTGTTTTTTTTGGGAGATTAGATTCTATTTTGATGTGTTTGCTTGTTTGTTTACAGAGTGATACGCTGTTCAATTTTAAAGTTGTTCAATTTAAAGAATCATCCCACAACTTTAAAGCAGTTCAATTTCTTGTTGATCTTGTCATTTTCAATTTTTCGGGCTTTGTGAGATCCTTATTAGATGTTGACTAGTCGGAGAATCTCATCTCTTCTCTCTCGCTCACTTCATTTGCTTCCTCGAAGAGGTACATGGATAAAATTATTGTATATGTGAATATTTATTTGTGATTATTCTGAGAAAATCTTGGTCTTTTTATTTTGGGTATTGAACATGCTCTACTTATCAAAAATCCTAGAAGAAATGATCATTGCAGCGTAAGAAGTGAACTTGAAAATTTGAAACAAAGGAAGTTTGGTAAATTCATTTTGACGGTTCTTTGAAGTTGGATTGGAGGGACAGGATTAATGACCACCCTAAATTTGTGTCGATTTCGGTCTGATATCAAAACTAGATTATTTTGAAAGTTCATAAATTTTAAGAGTGACAACTAAAGATGCTTGTACTCACAAGAGTCAGTCAAACAGATTAGAAGAGAGAGAACAAAATACACTGCTATAGTAGTTGCATTTTAGTTGTTTTTAATAGATAAATGTAATAGTAGAAATGTACCTACTCTGTTAACTATGTTGCTCGCCTTTCCTCTCTAGCTTTGTTTGTTGGTTTTCTCATTTCATGATTATTTGGTGTTTAATGGGAGTTTTTCCAAACTGTTAACTACAAGACACATTTGGTGTTCCATGATAAAAATAGCAAGCATAGCAATTTCTACACAGAAAGTTCGCTTGGCCCCTAGAAATTATAGAAATGGATACCCTAGCACTCTCCATTAAGAATTGATACAATAGTTTGAAAATTAATTTGGATAGTTTCAGTAATTTTTGCAGAGTCTTGATGGTGAGACAAGGGCATTTACATTGAGAGGGCAAAGGCTAGTTAACTACCATCTTAACTGATATAGGTTGTTCTCTTGTACGCAGGGGCGGACCCAGAGACTTCGGACTGTGGGGTCAAAAATGAAATTTTTTTCGAACAACGTATCATTAGCGAAAATAAATTCATATGCTACTACAATTGTAGCCTATGCGTTTTCATACTTTGAAAACGTCGTATAATTACATCGTTATCAATATTGTCATGTACATCACTCTCAATATATGTAACCAAACTATCACTTAACTATTGATCTCCCATTCGATTACCCAATCAATTCTTGACAATCTTCATTGTAGAAAATACTCTTTCTACCGTAGCAGTTGCAACTGGAAGAATTAACACCAATGTTACAAGCCTGTAAACTAATGGGTACACCTCATGTTTTTTTGTTACAACCAAGGTTTCTGCAAGATCATTAAGGCCTTGTAACCCTTCAAAATCTTTGTGAGTGCGCATATCAATAATATACGTCTGAATTTACTCTTCAACTGCCAAGATCTCTATTGGTTTAAAATCTTTGGGATAATACTCACACAACTGAATTAACTTATCCTTCTTGAAAGCAGAGAATGAATTATCCGGACACAAGCATGCAACATAAAGGAGTAAGTCACTATTTACCTCAGAGAAACGATCATTTAACTCTTGAATTTGCATATCGATGATAGCATAGAAGAAATCCACATGAAAATGATGTAGATTTGTAATTTCTTGAGTGTTAAGCCATGAACGGCCTAGAGGTATAAACATATCGTCCATATTGGAAACATCAATATTGTACCTTTCGCAAAAGCAAGAAACTGTTCTTAAAAATGATTCCCATTCATTGTCCCTCGTTGCTGGAAGTCGTTCTTTACTTATTTTCACTAATTTCATAGCGTAAACAATATCTTGATCTCTCCTTTGTAATGATTTTGACAATTCATCTGAAATACCCAATACCTTTTTCATGAGATGCAAACTGAATACAAAATCAAATGTCAAGATAGATCCCAACAAAATACGTGCTTCCCCTCGCTTTCCACAACTAGTATCATCAGTGGCAATCGTCTCAACGACATCAACTGTAGCAGAAAACATGATAATCAAGTTAAGCAAAGAATCATAGTGAGAGCCCCAACGAGTATCACCAGGTCGCTTACGAGTAGTTTCTTGATTAAGGCCCTTTCCACTTGAGATTTCACCAAGATTTAATGATTCAACAACTTCAAGCCTCTTCTTCTCTCGAAGAAGATCACATTGCTTAGCCGATCCACCAACAACATGTATTACTTTATTCACTAAAGTAAAGAATGTTTCAATTTCTGCATGCTTGCTTGCCACAGGTACAAGAGCTAGTTGTAGTTGATAAGCAAAATAGTGTATATAAAAAGCACTTGAATTATCTTTCAAAATAAGTGCTTTAAGACCATTGTACTCACCTCGCATGTTGCTCGCCCCGTCATAATTTTGACCTCTTAAACTAGATATACTTAAGTTAAATCGAGAGAATAAGTGATCAATAGAATCCTTAAGTGAGAGAGTTGTGGTACTAGAGACATGTTCTATTCCAATAAAACGTTCTGTTACTTGTCATTCCTAATTCACATAACGTAGAACAACGGACATTTGCTTCTTTACTGATACATCACGAGATTCATCAACAAGAATGGAAAATAACCTGTCACCAATATCCCTCATAATAACATCAAGTGTTTCAAATGCAATAGCATTCACAATATCCTTTTGAATTTTAGGTGATGTTAACTGAAGGTTTTTCGGAGCATTACTCAAACAAATATCCTTAATCTCTTTATTATGATCACATAACCACTGCAAAAATTCAAGAAAATTTCCTTGATTTCTTGAAATTTCTGATTCATCATGTCCATGAAACAAAAGTCCTTGTCGTAGAAGTAATCAAACACAATCAATTGATGCATTTAAACGAATTTGATACTCATCTTTTGTTTTTTTCGACTTCTTAAAGAGAACACAATCAATATTTTGTTTCTGATTCACAAAAGCCTCATACTTAATCCGAGCTCGATTGTGTGCACTACCACTTTTTCTGACATGAGTTTGAAGCCTTCCTTTCTTTTTCCAATTTGAGAACCCTCCATCAATAAAAGAATCACTACCACCATGTTCTTCAATATTTGGTTTGAAAAGATAACAATAAAAGCAAAATATGGCATCTTTTGCTATACTGTATTCCAACCAATCAGGAAAGTCATTAAACCACGAAATTTTAAATATACTTAAAGACGAATCTCCAAATTCTTTCTGTGGACACAAGTGATTTCGAGGCTGACATGAACCCTTTTGTACGTATGTTCTTCGGATTTCATCCTGAACATTAACATTGTAATTCACAATTGGAGTTCTTAATCTAGGATCCAAAGGTAGTTCTGCTAAGTCAATTTTATCCTAAACATCTCTTTGATTCCTGGTATTTGATTCTATTTCTTCCTGGACATCTTGTTTTTTTGAACACTCGTTTCAGAATTAATTTGCTCTCCACTTAAACATACGAATTTTCGCTTAAAATATTTCTCCATGACTGTTAAAAAAAATAAATTCAACACAGTTCAATAAATAAATACCACATATCAGTTTTCATCAAAACATAACACTAAATTGATAATAAACAACAATTAATTGAATTCTATAAACAATTCTAAATCCCCAAGTTAGAGAAAGCCAGCCATTACTTACTTCAAATTGGAATTGAGGTCTAACTTCTAAATTCCAGCCTTCCAGCCTCCAGCAACTTCCAGCAGTGAGCAGTCGGCACTCGACAGATGAGCTCAGTAGTCACTACATTGAAAATTTTAAATTTTGAACTATAATTAATAATTAAAATGATTTTTTCCAAATTGTAAAAAATCAATTCCATATGTGAGTCAATGACAGTGAATAATGAATATTTAATGTGTTCATCCAATTTCATTTCATCAATTTTAAACTTATACATACAAATAACAAATCCAAACCCTACAAGATTAACATACCGCGCGGTGGAACAGGAAGGCTGCTGTAGTCTTGTTCGTGTTCGGTCAATTCGGATTTCGTCACTTCGGTCAGAAATCGGTGGAAATTTAGAAAAGGAAGGCTTTGCCCTTCGCGCCTGCCGCCTGCGCCGCTGCTGTTTGGGAAAAAATCGGTAGGGAGACAGGGAAGTGGATTATGGTCTTAGGTCTATCATCTATGGACTATAGATTAATGGATATGGATAATGGATTGGAGTCATTGGGCTAGCCAGGAATTAATTGGAACCCCAAATAACCGTTTTCAGCAGCAAGTAAAAAAAAAAAGGAAAAAATTAATTGTGGGGTCATTTGACCCCACATGACCCCATGTGGGTCTACCCCTGGGTGGGGAGACAGGGGAGTGGAGAGTGGATTATGGTCTTAGGTCTATCATCTATGGACTATGGATTAATGGATATGGATAATGGATTGGAATCATTGGGCTAGCCGGGAATTAATTGGAACCCCAAATAACCGTTTTCAGCAGAAGGAAAAAAAATCGTGGGGTCATTTGACCCCATGTGGGTCCCCCCTTGCTTGTAAGAAGTCCTTCCTATATCGATGCCTTCTTTCCTTTTGAGTTAATGCAAATGCCTTGACCACTTTTGGGATTTTTGAAGTCTTCAAGTTTACTCTGACCACTTTTGATTTTGATTGTTATTTGTTTTGGTGAGTTTCTATTAGTTTTGGTATAGAAATGTATGTTTTATGTGGGTGGGGATTACACTGAAGCACAAATTATTATGTTTAGGACAAAAGTCTTATCTGGGTAGATGATTTTACCAATAAAGCACAGCTGCAGCTTTTGAAGAACCAATCAATAAATATGAAAAGAGATTAGATCTGACTATTAAATTGCACAAAACGTAAATAACATATGATTTGATTGAAATTCAAGCACAAATACTTTTTTTTTTAACTGATTCAATACTTCTCTTGCAGCTCTGTTGGCCATCATGAATTGTGTGGCGAGCAAATCAAAGAATGCATGAAGAACGATAGGATTGAGTATGTCATTCGAAGATTATTCAAAAGTTTAGTATTGCAAGTATGGCAATAAGTTCTTCATGCCTAAGCTGGTCTTTTTTCTTTAGGTGGTGTTGTATCACGTTTTAATGTTCAATTGTATGGATTCAAAAATTTGTAATGAAATTATCAATTTTTATGCAATTCCAAAATTTGTTCAAAAGGAGCCATTTTCAATTTTGCAAGTCAATTTACATAAATTGCTGTAAAAAATTAAAAAAAGAAAAAACCTATGGCAATGGTCGAAAAACGTTGCGAAAGGAATTTTTGCGAAGTTCGAAAAACATTGCGAAAAGATTTTTTGCAATGTTCAAAAAATGTTGCGAAAGGATTTATTGCAACATTCAAAAATCATTGCGAAAGGGTATTTTACAGCATTTGAAAAATGTTTTCGTATCCTTCTACTCTATGGCAACACCCAGATTTGCAACATGCGGTCAAACGTTGCAAAATGTTGTTTTTGTTGTAGTGTTTTGTTGACTAAAAAAACTTGGTAGAGCACAAAATTGTTATTAGACTTGTGGATTCTTACCATATAGGGTGTGATGACTTTTGGAGTAGCAAGAAGCAGATCTTGTATTGTATATCATGACAGCATAAGAAATTATTTGTTAGAGATTTATTGAGCATTTATTGATACAATTATGCTATTTGTATAATCATATTTGACAACAATGATTGACAATGTTGGTATCGTTAAAATTCGTGCCATTGATTTAAAAATAACTTTTTAAATTAATGAATGTGATGTTGCCAAGTGTGAGTTGCCAAGTAATATTGTCAAACTAGATTATACAACTAGCATGATTCTTACTGATAATGGTTGACATTATGAGATCATTGATGGTTTTGCTACTATTGCATATGTTTAAGATCGTAAGAATTATGATGAAACCAAACACTCGATGATACTTCTATGAGAGACATCAGTAAATAAAGTCTTCTATATCCACGCACATGACGGTAATCACATACTCTAAAATTATCTAGAGATATACACTTGGTCATCATGTTGAATAGCTAGAATTGTGTAGAATATAATACTTTGTGTATGTAAAAACAAATTATCAAGTTTCATATGCTCATAAATAAATAATTTTGAGTTCATGTGGAATCAATCTATTATGATTACTAGATAATGATTTATATACAAATATAGAGTATGTCAATCAAGTTGAGATTGGCTTGCTCACATGAGTAATCGCTTCAAAAAAAATTTAGGATGTGCCGAGTTGAGACAAAGTGATTGTATTGTACATATGATTCAATCGCCTTGATGAAGTATTAAGATAATATTACTATAAGTAATCAAAATGGATTATACTATCAATTAAACTTGTTTAGATTGCCTGGAGAAATGAGTCTAATGAAAAATCAAGTTATACATCAGAGAATACTTGAACTAAGATCTATAAGATGTTCTTTATTTTTAAAGAATATAACATACACTCCAATAGGGAGAACGTGTTTCATACCGCATTTATTTTTACGATCACAATGGGATAGATGAGTGAATGGATCTTTACTTCCTCAATGTGTGAAACCTTGGGGTTTATATAACATCATATATATGCTTATGACTTCGACTAGTTCTCAAAATTTTATTCTAGTGTTGTTACTTTAGCATGTTTTGAATAACTATGGTTGATTTGGTTTGATGGTAAATATCTTGGAAAATAGCTAATTTAAAGCCGAAGAATTCAAGTAGAAAAGAAAAGTCATTTTAAACAAAATTTTCGTATGTATTCACCACTCGGATAATTGTGTTAATCATTTCGAATTTATAACACGATTCTGAATACAAGAATATAGTGTGGAGTTCAAGTATGTTTCATAAATAATCAAGGGATCGAAAATACTTGAGTTAGTGTTGAAAAATGCATTTAGGATAAAGCGAGATGTAATGTTCTTTTAATAAAGCTACAATATATTTATAACAGGTTCATAATATATTCAGCTCTAATATGTACTATATGGTTGCATTGTTTATTTGTCGCATAATTCTTTTTGAGATAGATCATGAGAAGTGGAAATTTCAAAGAAGCCTACTTTTAAAGATCACATTTCACAAATCATATGCTATGTTTACTATTTCAAAAATCAAATATTTTGTTAATTAATCTATTATTATTAGATAAATATATTATTATATTAAATTAATTTATAAACCAACCTTACCTCTCTCCACCCCACCTCATTTTTTCCAAACCCCTCATCTCTCTACCTCTCATCCCTCTCGTCGCCTTCACGACCACCATCGCCACCCCCATAACTAAACCAACCTTACCTCTTATTGCACGATCTGTAGTTGCTGCCGCGTGATGATGTGTGTCTGCTACACGTTCTTTCTTCTCGTCCATCCCAGATCTATTTTTTTATTTCTGATTTTTGTGGCTGATGATTTTCTGTGTTGTTCTATTGTAGTGTGATATCGGTATGGTGTTGTGGGTGGTGGTTGTACGGTGCAAGATAGTATGCGATGGTGTGTGATGCGAGATTGCTTGCTATGGTGTGCAGTGCGATGTGCTGTGTTGTGTTCGACGGTGGTAAAGATGGTAGTTTTGGGGGTCACGGTGGTTTTAGTAGAGTTTAGGTGGTGGTAATGATGTTGACGGTTTGGTATGGTGATGGTGCAATGGTGTGGTGGTTGCGATGGTCGTGGCAGCTATAGTGGTGGTCTAGCAGTGATTGTGGTTGGTTGTCATAGGGTGGGATGTGGTGGTGGTGGTTTTAGTGGCAATGTGACTGGTGACAGTGGTGAGGTGGTGTTCACAAATGATTCGGTTGATTATGACCAATGAAAATGATAAATTGTGATCAATAAATAATATGTGATCCGAAAAATTCTTAATTTGTGAATAATAATTTGATAATTTGTGCCTGTATAATAAGTTGTGGCTTATTACATTTGTAATCTGTGACCAATATATAAATCATGATTTATAAATTTTTGACTTGTGAACGATGAACAAATTATAACTTATAAATTTTTGAATTGTGACCGTAAAATAATTTGTGACGTATAAAATTTTTGATTTGCGAACGAAAAAAATGTCACTAACTAAAATTACTTAGATTTGTGACCTTAATATATTTAATAAATAAAATGTATAATTAAATAATTAAATCATAAATAAAATTTAATAAATATTTGATTTTTGAAATTTAAAACATTTGTTCTTAATTTTGAAATGGATAATACTTAACCTCTTAATTATGAATTTTTCTCTCTTGAGATTGATCTAACATGTGATATTCGTTGTCATGCATATGGTTCAAGTCAGGCCAATCATGTGCACGTGTGAGGTGTTAAAAAATACAAATTGTGAATCGCACATGTGGGTGACTCGACCCTTAACACATTAAAAAGAAAATGAGGTAGTGGTTTAAACTGCAACCTTCCCTAGCTCCCAATAATTACCAACAGTTTCGAACAACTTATCTTGCAATATGGGAGAGAGGGAAAAAAAAAAAAAAAAAAAAAAAAAAAAGAAAAAGATAGCTAAAATGGTGAAAATTTCGTATTCAAAATTACATCAAAATTGAAAAGTCCCTAAAATCATATTTTTTTTGCATGAAAACTCACAAATCTTAATATGTGTTCGAGATTGAGACTATAGGAGTGCAACAAACTGCAAAATTTGAAACATCAACAAAATGATTTAATCATGAAGATCTTGGAAATTCTCCTATTTTTCAAGTAAAAATTCTTCAATCAAAATTATGTTCAAGCATACTGCAAAATCTGTCATTAGTGTCATGTGATAAACAAAATTTAGCATCGGTTTGATTAATCATTGGATTTATATTTTTCAGTCAAACATTCTGTTAACTTTAATGAAAATTCGATTTTAGCTAATCAAACATAGACATAATCTGTCCACTGTACATGTCGCAAATATCTTATACAATTATGGACTATAAGATCAAATTGTACTTTTGAATGTTGACAATTCTTGAAGGATCATTTAAGTACTGAAAAAAATAAATAAATAAAATTTAGAATAAATCGTACACGTGGTCCTCAATGTTAACCATTTTTTGCATTTTTTATTCTTAAAATTTTCTTCTTGACATTTAATTTTTTTAAACTTTCTACTATATTAGTATTTTCGTCCAGTTTACACTTCCTCCAGGAACCTGAAGAGAATATTTTTTCCCTCAAAATTAAGTAAACCATAAAAATTATTAAAAGAAGAAAATAAAATGAGGAAAATAATCATCTTTTTCCTAGACAATCTGATATCTATTGACACAAAAACTCTCTATCACAGACAAAGACACACAATATACATATAGTTCTTTGAGCTGACTATGTTTAATTAGATATTATTTAATAACAAATTCCAAACTAATTTATAGATTTAAGAGGCTAGAGCATATTTGTGTGCTTTTATGTGAGGTGAAACTTGTTTTTAAATCCAACCAAACATGCTCTAATGCAAATTTGTATAAACAAATTGGCACAAGGAAAATCGAAAGAATTAGAAACTCATATATAACTACATATATATAGATGAATAATCTAAAGAGCATCGATGCTCATATTATGTTAAGTACCATGACATATCATATCAATATATTGGTGGATAACAATTCTAATTCAAATGTTGAGACTCTCCATAAGATTATTCGCCAATAAATTAATATGTCATGTTACAAGTGTTTAACATAGAAAGAGCACTAGTGCTCATTAGTTCATTCCTTATGTTACTTGATAATTACTAATTAGTTTATATACCTTCTAAAGGCCTAAACTTAGTGCAGCCTTTAAATCCATTTTCCATGCGAAACCTCCAAATTCCATTCTCCAAACATCACATGGCACTGTTCTTGTACACTTGCGTCCATTCCAATTATACTCAACCCTCACTCTGCATGCAAATTCTGGCCAATAATAAGGCATATTTTTTTCTTTAATCAGTAAATATACCCTAAATTCATGTGCTGCTGATTCTTGATTTTCTTCACGCGTTACCATCCTCTTGTAGGCCTCATTAACCCACAATACATTGTTCAAGTTGTCGGATACAAATCCCGGATTTGTATCTATATGTAGATTACTGAGCTTTTCTTTGTCTGAAAACCCTATACCTATTCCTTCCATGATCGCATCTGTAAAACATTCTATGTTAATCCATGTTTCGATTATATCCACAGCGGCTTCTCTGGCAATATAATGAAGGCCTTCTCTTTCTTCGTGAAGAGCTCTAATCATATTCTTTTGTGATTCAACCAGTCCACGCTCAACCTCTACTCTCTGACACACTGAGGGATCCAAGGCCTCTCTCCAGCCTCCCAGCTGCCCACCAAAACCCATCATCATCTTATGATCGTCTCGAGATTTTCCATCACCATCTTCAAGATTTTGGAGAAAATCCACGTTATGACTTGATCTCTCTGGCAATAGTTGAAGTCTCACCATACTGTTTTCCGATGGCCTATCTTCATTTCCTAATTCCTTAGCAGGTTCAGATTTGCTTCTTCTTTTCTTGCACTGATCATTATTCTGCCGGCGCCGCCCTCGAACCCTAACGTACTTTCTCTTTCCTCTTCCATTTTTTGTACTTTTCTCTTGTAAAATACCACTGGAAACCGCTTCTCCGCCGGGAGGTTTCGGTGCAATTGGCCGGAATTTGAGCATTATTATGCTATGTACTATAGACTTATCAGATGTAATCTGTGGTGTTCTTGAGGCACACCACCCACTCCTACCCCCCATCACACCCCACCTCAGCTTAATCAACAACCATTCTCTTTCTATAAATGTGTGCGTAAGTATGTGTATGTATTTACTTGGGCGTTTGATTGGGATCTGTGTGATTTATAGGAAGAAAACGAACAAAGTGGCTGCTGTGAATAATATAGTGACACATATATGGACATGAAGATACTTGATTGGCTATAGAATTTGTGGGTCCTACATATGGGGCCCACTCAAAGTTAAAATTGTTCGGGACGCAGCAATGCACCATTCGAACGTTGCGAACTGTCGAGCACTCCTGTGGATAAGGGGACACCTAGCGCTCGTGGTGGTTTGAACCAGTGAAGTGGAAAGCTCCAGAACAAGGACACGTGTATGATGTCTGTGTAACAGTAGAGAAATTTAAGGTTTACTACTTCCACGCGCGCAAACAGCAATTGGCCAGATAGAAGCTTTCAACGGTAAAATTGGTAACATTTGCCCAGTGAACAATGTCAACAGAAACTCATTGCATGAACCGATTTAACTATAAAATCAATATATTCAAAATTCAGTGTGGAAAGCAAAATTGGATAATTAGACCTGAAAACTAGAACCAATAAATTCATTCAAATAGTCACTCACTGCAGTATTCATTTTACGTGTCATCTTACATAGCGACTTATAATTTAATGTATTAATATGATAATTTTTTCTTATCACATATATCAAATAATTAACCGTCACTTGTATGTCACGTAAGATGACTGCGATAATGAGTGACTGCAAATAATATTATTTTATGGAAATTGCATAATTGACCTCCAACCTTATAGAAACTTTGATCTATTTTCAACCTTTAAACAGCACCAGGCATTTTCGATGTTTGAGGAAATAGGCTTGATGATCCTCATTGATAGAGTTCATTCATAATTTACCATTCGCTTTGAATAAATAAAAAGGAAAATTGCATTTACGGTCCCAAAACTTTACAAAAGTGACCAAACTAAAACATTGAAATGATAAAAAATAATAATAATAAATAAATAAATAAGGAATGAATTATAAAAAATAGAAAGGAAAAAATCAATCATTTTCCCAACATGCACCACGCCCAATCCACGGCTAAATCACGACCACAAGTACCAATCAGACCACAATCATCTAAAATCTAGGCTTTGAACGTATTGTTCACAAAACAATCACATTAAACATCTCCTTTCTTTTAATTTTAGTTGCAAAATGCAAAAACACTTCCAAAACAATGGCTACAGTGTACAAATTTGTGCTTCTGTTCGACAACCATTAAAATAAGGGTGATTAGCACAAAACGTCCCTACCTTTGGAGGTTTTTGTGGATAACGTCCCTACCTTTAGTTTTTTGGTGGATAACGTCCCTACCTTTACCATTTTTTGCGCAGAACGTCCTTCTGTCAATTCATCGTTAAAATATTCCGTTAAATCAAATAAAATGGATCTTTTCTTTTTAAAATGCAGGGGTAATATCGTCCATCAACATTTTCTTCACTGTGTAATCTCTCCCGCCTCTTTCTTCTTCAAACGTTCAAGAAAAAAGTAAAGTAACATGAAAAAAAACTTATACAATATTATTTCATTCAATAAATTAAGGAAAATGACGTGAGAATTATTGCATTTCTGGTAGAAAATATTCATAGCTGCTGTAATACTAATTGTTCAAAACATTTTTGAATGCTATATGAAGAGAATGAATATGTGGTTAATAAAAATGAGATGTCCATCCTTATTTTATGCTTACGAGAAGGCCAATCAAAGTATGATTCTGTAAATGGATAATACATATGATGGAGTGGAGAAGATGATGAAATATGAACGTGTTTTCTCCCCCATTTTAGCATAAAATTAAATTGGTGATAACAATCCCTACCTTTATATTATCTTCGCGCAAAACATCCCTACCTTTACAATGTACCTGCGCAAAACATCCCTACCTTTACAATGTTTTTGCGCAAAACATCCCTACTTTTGTTAAAAATTGTGCAAACCGTCCCTACGTATTTTGAGCTAAACAACCTGTCTAAACTGCAGCCAAATACAATTCTGCTTATCCCTGCAATTGAACTATGTCAATTAAAAGGACAAGGGGGGATTACAAAGTTTTCTCCAAGTCCTGGAATTTCTTGGATCTTCAAAAAGATCCGCAACACCCAGTTCGAACAAAGCAAAACCAATACTCAACATCCAAGTTCAATAACAAAATGTAGTAAAATCAGCACTCAACAACCAAGCTCAATAACCAAACTAAGTAAAATGAGTACTAGACAATAATTAAAGAGTGCTCATTTCTGGATATCCAATTTGGAGAAGAGAAAAGGTCACATAATCAGAAGGTGCCTATCTCTGTCCAGCTGTTCAAAAATATCAACAAAAACATATACAATTCAGCATTCTACAGCTATTACTATGGTAGTGAATGAACCAAACCATATACAATTCATGTGCAGTGATTCATTAAACCAAAAGCAAAAAAATTTCATCTGGCAATACTAATTTGGTGCTGGTGGTGGTGCCCTTCTGCAGCCCCTACTATTGTGTCCTCGTTCACCACATTTCCTGCATGTCATTATCAACCCCGCTCTCTTCCTTGGACTTGACGTGGCTGTTGTAGTTGTCTCCGAAGTATTTACATTGCGTGAAGACTTTCTAAACCTCTTAGCCTGACTTGAAGAAGCTTCATTCGGCTCTTTTCTTCTGCTTTTTCTTGGCCTTCCAGCTCTTTTTGTGTATAATGGTGGATCGAGGGGCTTGAGACCTAGGTTAGGCCATGAGTCCGGACCTGTGATGGGGGAAATAGATGGAGTATAAGTTGCGAGGTATGCCTCCTTCTTGTATATGTCATCTACAAACTCCATTACATTAAGGCCTCGTGATACAATAGAGGAAATCGCATGACAACAAGGAAGTCCTGACAATTGCCAAGCACGACATGTGCACGTTCTTGCCCTTAAGTCCACAGCATTAAGTACAGTGCCTACATTGTGTCGGACTTGAAACCTTTCGTTGCCTGCATATTCAGCCCACTCCACCCTTGCAAGCCTACTGTTCCTGTCCAAAATTTTCTGAATTCTAGGGCCAACTACTACTGTCCACCGGTCAGAGGACTCTCTACGGACAACAATTCTCTTCATCAAATAAATC